CACACACACACACACACACACACACACACACACACACACACACACACACACAAAATAACTTCGGCGTGATGAAGTATCAAATAATAGACAGCCGTCGAGTAGGTGCAGCTCAACGAGAGCTCAAAGTCACAGTCATAACGAGCCACGGTGCCTGCTAAACATGACATATTTTAATAAGATATATGATCAACAGCGTTAATAACCAGATACATGATATGTCAGTTACTTACAATGGGCAGAAGATATGTTACAGAACAGCGTGTAACCGCAATCTATCGCTACTTGAGCCACATCTCTTGACGTCAAGTTAGGCAACTAGCAACGTAGCTAACTTTTAGCTCGGGAAAGCTGCAACCGAACGTCAAGCACAAATAATAAAGAACGCTATCGGTTGTACGTCCCAATAATCGAAGATCTTGTTTCGTCCACTCAGAGTACAAAGAAGTTTCGCTAAAAAGTGACAATTGGCGAAGCCTTGCGAACGATGCTAGCTTAGCCCGCTGGTGTTGTAGCTATAGCATTGCTAGTTCAAGCTAAAGAAGAGCAGCTAGTGGGTTCAGAGCAAGTCGGAAACTATTGCCGTGGTCTGTGAGACGTCAACTAGAGTATTGCATGGTACAACGTGGCTATTGTGTTGGACGCTGAATCGATATGCAGGTTTATTACCTTGTAATAAGCCCCGTTGGAGCCACGGACCTCCACCACCAGTTCTTCCATATTGGACACGCAAAGGATGTCGGGACGACAGGTGCTCTTTGAGGCATCAGGGCAGAAGTTTGCAGGCTGGAGAGGTAACTGCTCCATGATGGTGGTGTGCTTATTGCTTACCTCGATACAAACATACAACCCTAAAGAAGCTTGATTGTGTTTCCTGACACCAATAATTCAACAGACGGAAGCCTCGTCTGACGTAGTCATCTTCCTGCTGTATTTTGGTTGTCCTGTCCCTTTAAGAGAGTGTAGTGGTGGAAAGTAACGAAGTGCATTTACTGAAGTAGACTACTGTACATTCTTTAAGTACTTTTTTCTAAGGAAGGGCTATTTGTACTTTGCTTGAGTATTTCTATTTAATGCTACTTTATACTTCTACCTAATTACATACTATAAGCCAATATTGTAGTCTTTTACTCCACTACATTAATTAGACAACATTAGTTACTTTGCGGAATCAGATTATTACAACATATAAATCAACTAATATATTATGATATATAATAATAATAATACTACATTTATAATACATTTTATTTGTAATACATTTTATTTGTATAGCACTTTAAAAGGTGCTCAAAGACACTTATACATTATACTTGTTTATAGTACTATTATCTGTTTCTGCACTATATTTTATATTTTACTGTACATTTTAATATGTTTCTATTTTTTGCACTGTGTTGATTGTTATTGTTGTTGATTGTTGTTGATTGTTTATTATTATGCACCACCCGCCATGTCAAATTCCTTGTATGTCCAACATACCTTGGCAAATAAACGGTTCTGATTCTGATTCTGATTATTATCATGGAATAAGCTCCCCAGCAGTCTGTCTAATGGTTGAAATTAAGCTCCACCTTTACCAGTTGCAGTATTGAAGTTATATACATTTAATTAATGCATCAGTAATTCAAATCCAGTGATATTACATGGAAAAGTTCAAATTAGGTCCTTCTCAACCAGCTACAACATTAAAATTCAGTTTACAAATACATGCATAATTAATAATATGCAACTATAATATAACAGAGGTCATTCCTCCACATAATGAGTATTACTTTTGAAGCTTAAAGTACATTTTTCTGATATTACATGGTTTAATTAAGTAAGATTTTGAATGAAGGACCATTTGTAATGGAGAATTTTCACAGTAAATATGACAGCAGTAGTAGTTTTTCTTGAGTAAAGGACTGAAATACTTCTTCCGCCATGCACTTCCTAGAGCAGTAACAACAGTTATATATTTTCATTATATTATTGGGATTATTAGTTTGCTCGGCTGACATACACTTGTTTTGACTTCCTTTAAATCACATAGTTTTATTAAGTGTCCATGAGAAAATGTCACAGTAAGCACACATTCATTTCTAAAAATGTCATTCCCAACATTTCATTTCTTTATTTTAAAACACATTTTATCCCAATTAAACCTTGGTTTCTTCACCTATGTATTACTTATTTGATATTTATGATTTACCATATATCTTATAAAAGCAAAACTATAAAGCAGACTTCATGTTGTGCTTACATCAAGAGGGAGAAAGAAGATTGAGACCGCACCTGGAGACCATAGCTCACTGAAGTGAAGAGTTGTGGTTGCTTCGCTGTATTTTACAGGTGTGGATTAGATCCACTACATTCCTGCATGACCATTTTAAATGCAAGTCAATTCAAGAGCATTCAAAGTGATGCTATTTGACCAATTGTGCAGCAGCTCTGTCCAGATGAGGGCTCAATATTCTTAAAGGTTTAAAACACACAAAACAAGTTGTGTTCTTTTCCCCATCTGTGCAGTCCAGCTTCAGACACATTCGGACTGTGACTCACTTGAGCTGTTCTTGCACCTTGTGGGGAAAAAAAACAATATTGAGACAATTTAATTAATTTTGATGTTCCTGTTATCATGTGTCTGACATGAGCCGTCGATGTATAATTCAGTGTAATGAAGAGTACAGAGCTCACGCTCAGCTTGTTTATCTGCTGCATTAAAACCTAGTTCACATTTGTCGGCATGTGGCATTTTCCTCCTGCTGATGGCTTGTGATTCCAACATCATTCAAGCCATCATTCATCCACAGATGCAGCTAATAAATAAATAATTAAATAGTTGAAGATAGTTATATGTTTGTTTTTCATTCACATTTCAGAATTATACGACAGGGCCGATTTAATACAAACACACATTAGACTCAACATTGAGTGTAGCGCTCAGTCAAACAGAGAGCGTCTTTTAGAAACAACCACTGTGACACCTAGTGGCCAACAGATAACCTCCTGGGGACTGTTACCCCAGTGCATCAGATATTTATCCTGATTTGGCACCACCATGAGACTGCACCAGAGATACTCTGCAAACTTTAAAACAGACTTCATTGGCTCATATCAGTGTCAAATCAACTCAATATATACAAAATAATGTTATGAGCGATTCACTACAGGAAGTCATTTGAGCAATTTGGGTTTTGGTAAATGTTGGGTAAATATTTCATATTTGGTCAGGTGATCAATTTGAAGTTTTCACCAGTTTGGAAAAGCTGAAGAAATGATTGAAGTTTTCAACACCAAAATTCCAAACAAATGACTGGAAGCAGCTATAACTCCCAGATTATTATTAGACTATCATAATTCATGTTTACTGATGCTGTAAAAGGTTTTAACCCTAAATGTCTTTATTTCTAATTATGATCAGTTGAAACACAGATATTTTTCATCTGTAGTCAAACTCTCTCAATAATGTAAGTGTAAATAGCGGTACTTCATACACTGGTGACCGGGTCTTTCAGGAAGTGTACTTAATTCCCCAAAGGTGTTACATTCAACAGGTGTAACAGTAGATACGTGTTGTTTTGTCTGACACTCTTTGCCCTTTTTGTTAAGATGAGGACAAAAATGTTAATTTGCTACAAAAGAGGCGTATGATGTCCCAAACAAATGACATTGTCATCATTGTCATGCTTTCGTTTACAACATGAGAGCCAAACATTTACAAAAAAGTATCCACCATTATACTAATACTGCACTTGTCTTTACTCCACAACGACCCTGTGAGGAGCTGTGTGGTCATACAGTTACATGTGTAGAAAAACAAAAGAAAGTGAAATAAAGTGAGTGCACATCGACAACTTATTGCCTGGTAACTGAAATAGAACTCTGGGCAAATACCAATAAAATATAAAAAGATAAGTAAATGAATAATAAAAAATAAAAAAGACATAGCAGCCATTAACACAGAATGCAATATGAGTATTAAGTCCTACCAAAATAAAATGACAAGTGATACTGTGTAGAGCATTTAATCCAATAGATTCAGATTAGATATATTGTGATTCACATCTGAAAATAAATTGTTGATATGTAGTGATGTCTTGTCTGCTTTTTAAGAACAAGACATAGTGCTCACACTGTACTACTGAATTCAGTATTAAATTCATGTAAAAAGCTTTAAAGAGGCAGAGAAAACTGGCACACAATGAAATAAAGATAAATTATACTACAACAAATACCACAAATATGAATATATATATATATCTATAGGGATGTTTTTTAAGGTATCTTTTGATGTATTCTGCCAATGTGATGAGGCAGACATGAAGACAGCGTGTTCCTGTCGTGTTTGTGTGATTCAGTGTGTATGTGCAGCTCTGTGGTGAAAATATTCTGCTTGGTCTGAAGACATTACCACAAGACCCTCACAGTCTGCCTGATAGTCTGTTCTCACGTTCTGATTTAAACCAGTTTACCAATTCCATTATGCTAAGCCCGAACACTGGTTGGGAAATGATGAACGATTATGTGAAACACATAATCTCCCTGCTGCACCATCATTGCAATATGACAGCCAAATTTCATTCATCCTATCCAATTTCTTCCTTATTTAAGGAAAGAAAATTACTGGTCCCAGTAATCAGATATGTAGCGAGTCTGTGTGCAAGAGTTAAGCCCACTCCCATTAGGCTTTCTGCCTTGCTCCTGCTGTAGTCAAATACACGCACACACACACACGCACACACACACACACACACACACACACACACACACATGCACACACAGGAAGACAGATACACATGTTCCACATGTCTGACCCTCCTCAGTTCTCACATCCCCTTTCACCCGTTTCAAGGACTATTATTTGGCCTCGATATATTCTCCACAACATCATCCGTTAGCGATGCCAGTTTGAAACACAGTGTCTCTTAAGTGGTTTAGAGAGCTGCAGACAGGCAGTTCGCCCACACACACACACACACACACACACACACACACACACACACACACTTAAAACTCTCTCCTCCTCCGAAAAAAGGGCCGTACAAATGTTCTTTTTCCAAACAAAAACATAATTTTGTGAAATTAGGCTAAATTAGATAAGAATGCAATTTGGTCTTTTTGGCTACGATTATCCTCTGACAAAAAAAATGTAAATGTAATGAGGAGACATCATTTGGCACAAATATTCATTCCCCTTCTCTGTCTCTCTCTCTCTTTCTCTTTTTCTATCTCTGTGGAGTAAAAGCACCAGCGAACTGCTATATTAAACACCATGTAATCTATTACTAATACACTCTGGATGGAGGTGTTTTGAGCCTATGTCTGTTTGTTCTCCTCCACACATGTCCAAATTCTCTCTCCAATTGGGAATGCATTATAGGTGTAATTGAAAATTAATAGAACATCTTTTCTGCTTTTTTTTTTTATTGGGGGGGGGGGGGGGGGGGTTAATTTATCAGGCTTCATTGTTCCTGTGTGTCACCTCCAGGGCCTCTTCCTAACAAGGAGCCTGGAGCACCGAGAGGCTTTCTGCATGCCCAGGCCCAGCAGCGCTTTCTCTGCTTTGTCACTAATTGTGGCCTCCTCTCCACTGAATTGTGATTCGGGTAAAAGAGCTTGTTGGCTCGATGCAATGAAGCTGCCGGTGACGCTCTCACCATTATCAAAGATACTCTTGATCTTTTCAAAAGCAGGAAATAGATTTTTTTCCCAAGCCCCTGTGTTCAATCACACAGGGGGTTGGGGGGGTGTTGGGGGGGAGTAATTTGCAATGCGTCCATTAGTTCTTCATTAAAGCAAGATTAAATTGCACCTCAAATCACATCTGCCTTTTCTAGAGTAAAGGGTGACAGTTTTAGGGCCAAAACTAATTACTAGTGCCAATGAATGAGAGAGGAAAACAGGGCTGTTTTTACATGAGATAGTGTGGCCTGTCATTCTATTCAGAC